ATATATATATATATATATATATATATATTTATCTCCGCCTCTATATATATATCTCTCCTCTATCTCCTCTCTCTCTCTCTCTCTCTCTCTCTATATATATATATATATATATATATATATATATATATATATTTATATATATCTATTTCTATCTCCCCTCTCTATCTCTCTCTCTCTCTCTCTCTCTATATATATATATATATATATATATATATATATATATATATATATATTTATCTCCGCCTCTCTCTATATATCTATTTCTATCTCCCTCTCTCTATATATATATCTGTTTCTATCTCACTCATATTCAGTAATTTACAAATTAATTGAAACAACAACCTTCCTTTCTTTCACCATACGGTCTGTTTTGAGACCTACTGGAGTGACAAGGTGTAATCGTTTTTTTTTTTTTTTTTTTTTTTTTTTTTTACTCAGATTAGGTCATTTGCCGTGGTGTGAAGTAATATGAATCTATTTTCAGGGCGTATGAAAAAATTTGTTTGACCTTGAAAAATATTGCGTCATCCGTGATTGCATCAGATTTTCATCACGCCCAAAACGCTATTGTCTCGACTGTCGATTAGTTGTCCTACGGCCATTGTCTGCGATGGACGTTACTCCAAGAAAACGTACGAAAATTGTAACGCACTGGCAATGCCCTACCAGTGAGCAAATCAAAGGGTTATAGGCTGGCGCGGAAACTCTCCTGATTTAAATCCAATCTGTGGTCAGTCTGCAAGGAACGACTTCGTGGAATGAACATACGAAGTACTAACATGTGTACTGAGTCATGTTACATTGGAAAAATACGAAAAAAATAAATAATAACGAAATCATACGTTTTGTTTCAATTAATTTGCAAAAAAAATATACTCTTGCGAACTGCGGCTAAAATCTCGATCGATATGTCACTTCGCAGTCTTTAATTGTGCATCTCTGGCTTTGGTTGTTTGTTCAAAGCATCAGATGTTATAAACCAATGGAACCACAATGTTAAATTACACAATAACAGTTCAACGAACCTCTTTCGACCAATGTATGCATCTATGATGTCTTGATGTTCCTTGGATTGGTAGAAGCGCAAATAGAACTGAAATAATAAATAATGAAATAGAAATTAATAAAACGTTTTTTTATTAAATTTTCGTCAGATTAAAAAACAGAAATCAGGGCCGGATTTATATAATGATTTACCAAGTATAGTTTAGATATGGCACAAGGATAAATGTATGGAGCACCAAGTGAATATCAAACTCGATATTCAGTCGTAACGGATCTAGCAAGACAAGCGTGCTAACCAATACACCTCGTCGAAGCGTTTTTCATAGCAATTTACTAAGCCTAGCTTAGATTTGGCACCAGGCCGAAAGTATGAGCACACAGTGAGGATCAAACTCATTATTCAGGGTTTTACTGACACTTACTCTTTCCTCCTTACTTTCTTCCTTGTCTCCTTTTTATCACACATACACGTGAAGAAATCACGTTTCTTTTCATCTTAACAGACAACTACAAAGAAAGTCTGTAAGGAACTCATACTCGCTAATGAAAAATTTAGTTGTAAAAACACGAAAATAAAAAATATTTTATATTTAAAAACCTTTCTCGTCTTTTTCTTTGTTGTAGGTTGATTCAAACCCGCAACATATTTATGATTGTTATTGCAATATTTTGTTAAAGTTAAGCTTAAATATATAACGATGTGATATGGGAATTTATATGGATATTTTACTGTCATAGAACTCGCCATGAGCTTATTTAGTCATTAACTGAAGAAGATCAATCAGAAAATTCACATAGGAAAACCATATAAATTTTCAGGGGCCTTTCTAGTTATTATTATTATT